TAGCTTGTAAAGCTCAAGAAATACTAAACTGCACTCTATTAGTCCTATACATTTTATTGCCTTTGTGGAATAATCATGTACTTCAGTACATCCTTTAATCTGAGCTGGCTTGTGGTTATATAAGTGTGTTGCTTATTTTTTCTTTATCTTTTATATATGCAGGCAAGGAAAATCCACTGCATTTTATAAATAAATGCTGGAAACATATTTTCTTCCTACCTTTTTATCTTCTTGGAGGCCCAGCTTTAAGGCATTTGAGTGATATATTTTGTGCCAGTGCTGTAACTAGTTCTACTGAAAAAACAAATAGCCTTCAAAGTCACTTTCTCCCCTCCCCCTCCTTCTTACAGGACACAGTATTTGGAATCATTGTATAAAGGATTTTGCTGTAATAGAAAGCAGTAGTCTTCTCTCTTTTTCAAAGTCTCAAAGTTTTCACTCATCAATTTGATAGAAATTAAAATGGACTCTTTATTAAAATAATCATCTCTTTTTAAGTAGAGACATTTTATTTATATTGAGAAGGAAGACTCCTAAATACTAGTGCATCTCAATGCATTTGCCATGGATTAACTGGAAAGAAACATTGATTTACATGGAGTGAGGCTGTCTTGACATTTCACTTTATTACCAAATGAGTGCAGCAGGAATATTAGGACTGGGAACTAGTTGGCAGATTTCACACATCTCCCAGTACTTGTTGTTTAATATAAAATAATATTTACTATTTGTAGATCAGGGTAGAGATCATCAGTTAACAGCTATATCCCTTCTTGCATGGAGTTTTATCTTAGCAATCTTTTGATATGGTTTCTAACATATACCTAATAATGGCTAAAGTGACAACTTTGCTTTATGTGGCCATAAGTTAGTTATAAAATCAGTGAGCTGAACTTGGCAGGTAAGAATGAGATGACATCGATAAATTATTTGTCCCAGTGAATTGAAAGTGTTTATGTTAGCTAAATATCACTAAATATCACGTGTGAATTATTGAGCAAAAATGTAAAACAGTGGACTCATAACATAGAACAAGGTCAGTATTTTAGCCATCAGTCGTATATATTTATGAAAAAGTCATATATGTTTATGATCTGAATTGGTAAGATTTTTTTGACTAATCAATGGTACTTAATGCTTAATGATAGGATGTATGGATTTTAAATTTTTAAAATATTGTCCAGTGTAATTTCTAGTTATAGACAGACTGACCAAGCAAAGAAGAAGTTTGCAGAATTATAACCTAAATTGTGAAATAGTGTTCCCAAGTGCTCCTAGGAGACCTCAAAAATGAACAAATAGCACAGTGTGAACCGGTCACTGTAGTCCCTTAATGGCAGAGCAAAGCTCTTGCATTGCCTAACCAGCCTCCACAGTGGGGTCAGTATCCACTTACCACAACAGCCTTTTCCTCTGAGCCTGGTGGAAGAATTATTTCACTAGAGCTTTCTTGGCAGCCCCTTCAGGTCAGCGGGTCCATCACACCGAGCAGATGTCCATTCCCCATGTGTTCATGGCAGATGTCTATCATATTTGCAAACCTACGTCTAGGTCAGCTTCCCAATAGGATTTACATGGCTCTTCTCCCCTCATGTGCTGTTTTAATATTTTAATATGGAGTACTCAAATAAAATGCTCAGTGTCTATCAGGCTTACCATCCATACAGACACAAGGCTTCCTGCTTCTTGGGCAGAATAAGATTGGGAGACTGAAAATGTCCAATCAAATTAAAATTTCCTGTAACCATCAGAGCAGTCTTTGATGCAATAATAGCTCTGGAATCATTATGAATCCAGTTACAATTCACTGTTGTTATGGACTAATACTAACATTAAGGGTGGGGGGGGAATCACTAATATTAAGGCCTTCAAATTTGGCAACTTGTTAAGATTAAAGGTGGTTTATTTTAACCACATGTATGAAAAAGGAAGGTTAACCTGATATTCAGCTTGCTGTTAAATAGTCAACCAAAGTGGACAATTATAGAAAAGCTTTAAAAAAGCTCCAGAAGCCTGTACACGATGCCGTAAAATGCAGTGGTGGGAGCGTACATGTGGCTTGCAGCAGAGTCTGAAATGACTTCCTCCCTTGCAGGTCCGCAACGTATTGGTGCAGAGTATTTATATTGACCCAGTAGTAGTCACTGAAATGGTGGCCACAACCATTAGACAGAAACCTACAGGAAAAGGGGTGTGGTGGAGAAACGCTTTATCACAGGGGTGTATTGATTATTGCCAGTTTGAGGCAGCAAGCTGCATGAGTGCATATGAAGACATAGACACTAGTGTTACTGAAAATGAACAATAAAGGACAGCTGGAAACAGTGTATGCTTCTAGCTGCTTATTTGCAGATATGCCCAAACACAGGGGGGCGCTAAACTTACATATGCACTCTGCCACCTCTCTTTACAAAGGGCCAGGACAGTGCTGTTAAGATAGAAAGTAGACGTTTTTCTTGTTAGTCTTTTGGCCATGTAAGCTTTGGAAAAAGTTGTCAATTTGGGAAGAAAGAGTAGATATTTTGATGTTTTACATGACGTATGTATTTTTCTTAAAGCTTGGAAATTATTGTCTTGGAGGGGGTTTTTAGACTCAGATCTGAATAACTCTAATAAGTAAAAATGATCTTTTACCCTCATGTTAAAAAATAGTGACATCATGGTTTGAAAAATGTCTTCCCTGTTCCCAAAGCTCTGTTTCTATAGAATTTTATTTTCATGAAATCTCTCCATCCTCCAGTATCTTCAATAGTCCAGTTAATCGGATAACGTTTTGTAGATAAGTAAACCTTCCCAATAGGGAAAGTGAGCCAAAATAAACTTTCATGTGATGTTTCAGTGCATTTGGATTGCTATAAGATAACACTGCCCACTGATATCAACAAGAGAAATATGTTTCTCACAGTTCTGAAAGTTGGGACATCTAGGATCTGTTCTGGCCCCTCTATCTGGTTCACATTTGGCATCTTCTTGTGGTGTCCTCATATGGTAGACAGGACCAGGGACTCTCTGAAGCCTCTGTTACAAAAGCATTAATCTCACTTAGGACACATTCAAACCATAGAATTTAGCATCTGGGAAATCGGGGAAACATAACACAGTAGCAAACAGCAGGTGTTCTAGAAGCACACCAGAGCCCTGGCTTGACCTATTGTTCAGTGTGTATGTAGCCTTGTAAATACTCAGTAGGCCCAGTTTTCTGTTCAGTAAAACTCTAACACATGTGTATTGTGAGAAGAAATGAGAGAGGACATATATAAATAGTTCTCACAATGCCTAGCACCTAATCAGACTCAGCATTAGCCATTACTTTCATCATTTGTAAGCGCATGTCTTTATTTATTTTTATCAACATGCAAACATTTGTAGCTTTTGTGCTATATTATTTTAGTTTGAGGTATAAAAAAGTGAGATGGTTACTATATCTTTTCTGCAAGTCTACTAGAGGATGGGAGATTAATTTTGTTTTGTTGCTTTTCCCACCCTGTAGGTCAATTGCTATTAACATGCATACTACAGATATTTTGACTGGTACATTTTTAAAAGAAAGATTTGTTTGTTTATGCATGTAAAGAGCTGGGGTACAAGCCAGAGGTGTGGGAGGTGAGAGGATTCAACCGAGACAGAGTGAGGATCAGAACAAGTAGATGTACTGAAATACACTGCAGAGGGGAGCAGTGGACAGGTCAGAAGAGGTCTGCCACACCATGTGTGTTACCTCCCCAGCTGGGAATCGAACTCATGCTGCAGTGGCTGCAGATCACTTCATAGTAGTGTGCTTTAACCCATTGTGCCACCAGGGATGACCCAGTACATATATATATATATATATGTATATGTATATATATATGTATACATATACATATACATATGTATATGTATATATATATGTATATGTATATATATGTATACATATACATATATATATGTATATGTATATATATATATGTATATGTATATATTTTTTTAACAGAGATGTTTGTTCACTTACTATAAATTCACCATCTTAAAGTTAAAAATTCAGCAACTACTAGGTAATTCACAAGAATTTGCAATCATCACTGCTCCCTAATTCTAAATTTTCCTCACCAAGTAAAGAAACCCCATATCTACTAGCAGTCATTTCCCAACCTCCAGGAGCCCCAAATCTACTGTCTTTATGTACTTACCTATTCTAGATAATTTACATAATTGGAATACTCTAATATTGAAACCTGAATTTTATTGTACAGAGAGCTAAGTATTATTCTTTTTTTAAAAAAGATTTATTTATTTATGCATATAGAACTTGGGTACAGGCCAGAGGTGCAGGCCATTTGTGACCATTTCTTTCATGTAGCATAAAGTTTTTAAGGTTCATCCATGTTGTAGCATGGATCAGATTTTCATTCCTTTTTAAGTCTAAATAATATTCCATTGTACGGATACATGACATTTGATTTAGCCTTTCATTGGTTGATTGAGATACATGGTTTTAAATTTTTTTTAGGACAATCTTTGAAAGTACTTGTGCCCTTATCATAACAGATAGTATAGGTTTATTCCATTTTTTCCCCAAGATAGATATTAAATTGTCAACTTTTAATGAAATTTACATGAAGACAATTGAAACCTGAATTTTATTTTAGAGAGACTTAAGTATTATTCTTTTTTTTAAAAAAGATTTATTTATTTATGCATACAGAGCTGGGGTACAAGCCAGAGGTGGAGGGGTGGTAAGAGGATTCACCAGAGACAGTGTGGGGAGCAGACCTGGCTGACTGATGAAGTACGTTGCTGAGGGGAGCATTGGCGGTTCAGGAGAGGTCTGCCATGCCATGTGGGTCACCTCCTGGGCCAGGAATCGAACTAGTGCTGAAGTGGCTTTAGCTTCTTAGTGCTGTGCTTTAACCTATTGCGCCACCAGGGAGGGCCCTAAATATTATTCTTTAATTCAAATTTTTGAACTTTTTTATTTCTGATGAGTTCTTTAACTTCGAAACTTTTCTGAACTTTCCTAGAGAAAAAGAAGAACAACTCACTCGTGTGACTGAAGTTCAGAGGTTGCAGGCCCAACAGGCAGACGCTGCTCTGGAAGAGTTTAAGCGGCAGGTGGAACTGAACTCAGAGAAAGTGTATGCTGAAATGAAAGAGCAGGTGAGGATGCCACAACTCTCTCAGTAGGAAGCTGCACTCTGATCTTAAATATGATGATAGCATACTCACTTAAAAAAAATCTATTTCAAAATTAGCCATATAATTAGGTCAGGAATTCAAGATGAGAAAGAGATACTAGTCCTGGCAGAGGACACACACCTCCAACAGACCCTCAAAGCAAAATGTAGCCCCTGACAGTCAAGAATGCAAAGCTTAGTGAAGAGGGGTCAGCTGATCTTTGACAAAAATTCCAGATACTTGTGCTCAAATATTTAAAATATGGACATTATATACATGTAGTGATTGTGCCAGCTTAGCTCAATTATTGACCTTTCAGTGTGTCTTTATGTTGTTCATTTGAGACTCTGGGGTGAAAGGTGATATAGCACTTCTGTTTTAGTAATTGCAGCTTAAAATATCCAAAGTCGATGATTACTGAAAGTTTCTTTCCATCTAATGAGATAGTCTGGTAATACCTCGTTGTGTATCAATAGAAATATTCCACTGTGGCATGTGGCCCCTTGATACAGAATCTGGGTTTCTGTAGAATGAAGCCCTTTTCCAAATACAAGAGTTGAAGACTTGCCCCTGGGAGTAAAGTGAGTGGATGAGTAAAACGATCTTATGTGGGAGCATTTTCTTATAGGAGTTTCATCTAGATGAAAGTGTCACTGGAGGAATTGGGACTTCTCGGTTGCATATAGTATCTCTTTATGGAATGTGTCAACCATTTCTGGACAATAATGTTGACATTATTTGAGGTGGCAGGTCGGAGGTCTGTTTTCTGATGTATTTGGGTGCATAGCTGAGCCAACCAAGGAGAGATTGAATGATTTAGTGAGAAACTAGGGATTAAACCAAAGACTCTATTCAGCAACCAAAAATCTTAATCTTTTTGCAGCTTGACTCACTGCTGGCCTATATTTCCCCTTTTTTCCAGCAAACTTTTCTTGGGGGTTATGTTATTGAGGAATGAGCTAAGATGAACTATGTGGAAGTGTTGTTTAATAACATAGTGCACTAGAAATCTAAAGATCAGCAAATTTAAAATTCCAACTCATTATGACTTTTAAAAGAGATTGTACAATTATCAAAATACACATGATCAAATTTTACTATACCATATGATGGGTTGAGGAAGCTATTGTACCAATTCTTTCTTTGAAGTCTCAGTAATGGTTTGACAGTGAAAGAATTCTGTGCCGTTAGCAAATTCAATAAAAACTAAATATATGAAAAACTAAAAAGAAACACTCAGCTATCTTTCTATTTTCTATCCTTTAAATATATTAAATTTTTATTTCTGTGAAAATAGCTGTAAAAATCAGTAGACCATAAACAGTCAATATATTTTTAAAATTTGAAATGGCAGAGAGCACATCTTTAATTTTTTTTACCACAGTGCAAAAAACGCTAGAAAATAAATTTCAGTAAACTTGCTACAGTAGACTTCACCAAATTAAAATCTTTTTTTTTTTTCTCTGAAAGATACCATTAAAAAAAAAAAGCAACAAAAGAAAGACAAATTGAAGAATGGGAGAAAAAAGTGACAAATAGCTCTAACATTTGTATCTAATATATATGACCTCTTAAAAAAATATGACATCTCAAAGCTAAGTAATAAGACAAGCAATCTAACTAAAAACAGGCAACATATTTGAACACATACCTTGCAGAAGATATGAAAATGACTAATAAGTACGCCAAAAAAAAAAAAAAAACAGTATTGTTCACTAGGGGGTGCAAGTTAAAGCCAAAATGAAATGCCATTAGAATGGTTTTAATTTGTAAGGATTGGTTGATAATACCAAGGACAGTGAAGATAAAATCTAATGGATCTCATATGCTGCTGATGGGTAAATACCCATTTCTTAAAAAGTTAGGTACACAATGACCATTCTAATGTATTTAATCAATAGAAGTGAAAATATACCCAGGCAAAGACTTGTATATAAATGTTGACAGCACCTACATTCACAAAAGTAAAAACTTGAGTGGCCCAAATATTCTACAAAAAAAAAAAAAAAAAAAAAGAACATTCAAAGAACAGTGGTACACTACACATTGGGATAATAAAAAGCAGTAAAAAGATATGAAAGACTAATGCCTGTAATAACAAGGATACCTCAACATTTTGCTGAGTCATGTTTGCTGACAAACAGAAAACAAAAGTTCATATTACATACTCTCTGAGTTATGTAAAAATTCCTGAGATAATATAATGACTTTTGTTTTACTTTAGTAGATATTAACCCAATTTGTTTCACAGTAAGTTTCATCTATGGGAAGATTCCAGCTTCCAGTTCAAGAGGTTATGTTTCAAAACCTTTAATCTGCTGGTCTGGGTCTGTTTTTATTGTGCACTCATGAGTAAGTGCACAAGGGATTTGAGTGGTGATTTAAATCATTACACTTGATCACTGCAAGCACTCATGGAACATTCTCCAGGATGCTTGGCTACAGAACAATTCTTGATAAATCTGAAAGGATTAAAATCATTTAAAATATGTTATCTGATCCCAAGAGCAATAAATCAGAAATAAATAGCAATTGGAAATTTAGGAAGTTTCTCATATTTTTGAAAATTAACTAACATATTTATACATAGCTCATGGGTCAAAGAGATACTATAAGAAAAGTTAGAAAATATTTTAAACTGAATTTAAAATATGGTGTATCAAAATTTATGGAATATAATGAAGCAGCTCTTGGAGAAAAAATTAAAGACCTATGTATATGAATAAAAAATTCTCAAGTCAGTATCCTAGTTAATTTGTTAAAATAAATTAAAATATCAATCAACTGCCTTCCAACTAATGCTTAGGTAGAAGTCCATAAAGGCCTAAGGGAATATATATTTCAATATGTATAAATATGAATAAATTTGTGTCAGTTCATATATTTTTTTGTCAGTTTGTATATTTTTAGTGGATATATAAAGTTATATCAGCTTTCTAAAGGATTGCCTTACTAGTGCATATCATTTTTATCTTCACTTCTAGGATTTAATTTTTTTATGAATACAGAATATGTAAGCATTTTTAATGGTATTTATTTAAAAAAATTAAGGTCTTTATTGTTGGGTTATTTGTTAATGTTGAAAAATTAGAAAATAAGTTGGAATGTAGAAATTGTTTAAAAAATTTTTTAGGTTAAAAAAAGAAATCTCAAGAGTTGTATGGCACAACTGAAGTCCTTAAAGATAATGTCACTTCACAACCCGTTGTTGTAGCCCTGTGTAAACATGGGCATGAAGAGTTGCTGGGATTAAGTTCTCTTGGATATAGTAAATAAGGGAGAAGCTGTAGCAAAATCCAGCCAAAATTCAGACATTATGAACAGGATTAGTGACCCAGGGAGAACAGGAAGAATGTAAAAGTAATGGAAGAAGAAATGAGAGGGAGCTATCAATCAGGACCCTGTCCACCCTCCCCCACCTACAAACCCTGAACACCTCAGCCAAGGAAAGAAAAGAAAGAGAAAAAAACATGAAAGCAACTGGGAAAAGCTGAAATATCTGAAAACCCCAGAGGGAAAAACAAAGGTCAGCAAGTTGATTTGTGTGGAGGGGAGCGGGACTACTAAAGAATCACGAGGATGAAACCTGTGGAAAGGATAAGGATGGTTCAACATCTGAAAACCAATTACATCAACCAACAGAAAAGTGAAAACCATATAATCATATCAATAGATGCAGAGAAGCCATTCGACAAAGCTCAAAATCCATTTTTTGTTTAAGGCCCTCGAAATCCTAGGAATAGAAGGAACATACCTCCACAGGATAAAAGCCATATATGACAAACCTACGGCCATTATTATCCTCAGTGGAGAAAATCTGGAAGCCTTTCCTTTAAGATCAAGAGCAAGGCAAGAATCTCCACTGTCACCAGTGCTGTTCAACTTAATACTGTAAGTCCTAGCCAGAGCAGTAAGACAGGAAAAAGACATGCAAGTAATCCAAGTATGGAGAGAAGAAGTAAAACTACCTTTATTTGTAGAAGATATGATAATTTACATGGAAACCCTAAATACTCCATAGAAAAACTAATCAAAACAATCAACCTAAACAATCAGTTTAGTAAGAGAGCAGGATATAAAACCAACACACATAAGTCAGTATCCTTCCTATCCACAAACAACCAATCAGAAGAAGTGGAAATCAAAAAAAATCATTCCCTTTACAATTGAAACAAATAAAAAAATCAAATACTTTTACAAAAGGTAAAAGGTCTATACAAAGAAAATTATAAACACTGTTAAAAGAAATACAAGAATACACAAAGAAATGGAAAGACATCCCCTACTCATGGATTGGAAGAATTAACATAATTAAAATGGCCATTCTACCAAAATTGATACACAGATTTAATGCTACTCCAATAAAAATCTCAGTGACATTCTTCAAAGAAATAGAACAAATATTGAGATTTATATGGGATCACAAAAAACCTCGAATAGCCAAAACTCTCCTGTCTAAAATGAAAGAGAATGGAGGCATCACACTCCCAGACTTCAATCTATACTACAAAGCCATAATAATCAAAACTGCATGGTACTCATACAAGAATAGACATATACAAGAATAGACATATAGACAGGTGGATTTGAATAGAAAACCCAGATATAAACCCACAGGTTGATGGGCAGCTAATCTTTGACAAAGGAGTAAAGAATATGCAGTGGAACAAAGGAAGTTTGTTCAACAAATGGTACTAGGAAAACTGGGCTGCTATGTGCAAAAAAACTAAGCTAAATCACTACCTCGCACCATGCAGAAAAACCAACTAGAAGCGAATTAAAGTACTAGACATAAGCCCAACACTATAAAATATCTAGAAGAAAAGGTGGGCAAAACATTACATGACATATACCTTAGTAGATACCTGGATAACTGGATTAAAAAAATGTGGTACATATACACAATGGAATATTACTCAACAATCAAAAAAGATAAACACATGTCTTTTACAATAATGTGGATGGAGCTGGCAGGGGTCATG